AGGCACATGCCAGAATCCATTCTTAACGTCAGCCACAGCAAAGACTTGTGCCCTAGACAGTTCAAGTAGAAGATCATCAATAAATAGTTGGTAAAGGATAATGGTTTCTCTGTAAAGCTTTTTTAAGGGGCTTTGGATCGAGACACACTTGTCATTGGGTTTCAATACCACTACAGTAGATGAAATCCACTCTGTTGGTTCTGAAACTGCTGCTATAATTCCCCCTTTGAACCAATCTCTAAACCTCCATTTTGTATTTCTTCCTCAAGGTAATAGGTGGTTTGCGAACAGGCATCTGTTCTAGTTTTACATTCTGATCTACATGAAGAAGTAGCTTGTCTTCCAGTATCGCATCTCCCTCATAGACATCCTTGAACTGCTTAACATCTTGAGGCACGGTAAGACCTTCGTATCTCTGCGAACCCTCAACAGCCAAAATGTTGTGTGTATTTACTGTATGAGGAGATAAACAAAATAAGAGGAATAAATTTCAGGAATATCAGTCGCACTCGCGTTTTAAAGAACAGGATCGATTTATTACAGATATTTAAGTTATCCTGTGTGTTTCTTGGTGTCTTTGCTGACCTTTGCTAAGTATTTTCTTGCGTAGGAGGTCTATTTTGGAAACCCTGTATTCATTCTTATAAGAACATTGATCAATTAGTCTTAGATGAGCGTTTTGAATGACTTTGTTATTGCCATTGAAAAGACATATTATTGATATTTTACTTTTTCTGCTACAAGAGGAAGAACGTATTTGCATGCGAACTACAAAAATCACTTCCAGCTGTTACTAAGCAAGCCAAAGAAAACTTTACTTTTTAAGCGTAATTGTTTTCCTAAAGTACAATTTTTAAGCTCGCTTAAGAAATTAATGTGATCTGAAGTGGGAAACTAAAGGCTGAAAAGGTCTATCCTGGGCGGTATTATAATAATAAAAGGTACTCATTGCCTTAAACATGTTGTAACAGACATTAACGTCATTGAATTGTGGTCATTTATCTAACGATGAAAAATTAGTTCCTTTACAGAGCGGTGACACACTGGAAAGCGATTTGACAACCATAAATATAGTCTTCATTGTAAACAGGACTTAAAAAATAAGGAACAAAACAGAAAAGGAGTACTCTGCAAAAGTGTTGAGGCCGAGCTTCCTAGAGATTTAGTGACATTTTAAAATTCACAGGTAGGGTAAGTTGAAAAACGATTTTCAGTAAACTAGGGTTACAGTTAAGGCGAATTTTTTAAATCCTGCATTGATCAGATGAAAATGCATTTATTTAACACGAAAAGAAGACAAAACAAGAGAAAAAAAATAGAAACGTCTGGAAGAAGGAATAGCTCAGTTTTTTTCCAGTTTATTCGTGGTTATTTCTTCAAATTATCTACACTAAGGTTAATACAACACTTCACACATGCACTACGAGGACTGTGTTAACATTCAGGGTCATGAACACCTGAGAGAAATGGATTCTGAGTAAGGGTGAAACTGTGCTGGTTCGGTGATCTGGATATCACATTGAAGTAACGAAACTGGTGTTTTTATTTTATAGTGACTTGATTTAGTTTTTCAGGGCAATAGCTCCTAAATATGTTGGAGCATAAATTAAAGTACGTTGCCATTAACAACGGATACGGAAAAATGATTACCAGAGCTGTATTAGATATAGGGTAGGGTCGTAATTACATCGGAGTTGACATTAGCAACAAAATGACGCCATTACCTATTTCCCTTGCAGTCCTCTTTCTCTGCACTGGAAATTTGTTTTTTCTAAAATCGTTCACGGGAGCTCTTTTTGTTCCAATAGTTGCTTTGATGTTCGAAAAGTTTATGCAAATCTATGTGAGGATTATTGCGATATTTTGGCATGAAATTTCTATGGTTTAGAAATTCAGAGAAAAATGGACAATCTTGATGTTCGGCCCTATTTTCTCCTTGGGAAGGAAGAATTTAAAAAGCAATTTTACCTTACACTTGCTTTATTCTCTTTAAAAACGTGTCGGAAGAGAACTTTAGCTTTAGCCAATCACAAGAAAGAGGGATTTGATTTGCATGCATGCAGGTCCTCTTGTTGGCATTTTTGTAAGTATTTTGGTCTATTTTAATAAATGAGCGAACAATTAGTTTGAGCCTTGGCCTTCTCAGTCGCTAAATAAATAAAAAAAATAAATTTAATGATTCGATTTACGATTAATTGCACTACGGCTAAATAAAAAAAGGATCAATTTATTTCAGATATTAATGTCATTTTTTTCACATTAGGGCCATTATGGTTATGGTTATCATCATAACCATCATCATCATCATCATCATCATCATCATCATCATCATCATCATCATCATCATCATCATCATCATCATCATCATCATCATCATCATCATCATCATCATCATCATCATCATCATCATCATCATCATCATCATCATCATCATCATCATCATCATCATCATCATCATCATCATCATCATCATCATCATCATCATCATCATCATCATCATCATCATCATCATCATCATCATCATCATCATCATCATCATCATCATCATCATCATCATCATCATCATCATCATCATCATCATCATCATCATCATCATCATCATCATCATCATCATCATCATCATCATCATCATCATCATCATCATCATCATCATCATCATCATCATCATCATCATCATCATCATCATCATCATCATCATCATCATCATCATCATCATCATCATCATCATCATCATCATCATCATCATCATCATCATCATCATCATCATCATCATCATCATCATCATCATCATCATCATCATCATCATCATCATCATCATCATCATCATCATCATCATCATCATCATCATCATCATCATCATCATCATCATCATCATCATCATCATCATCATCATCATCATCATCATCATCATAACAAGAATAATAATAATAGTCAGCATCATTATCATCACCAGCATTTCGTTTCTAGTAGCATTACTGTATCTGTTTACCTTTCTTGCAGGCTGTCTTGAAATAAATGAAGAACAATTCTCAATCAGATCAAAGTTCTCATGATCCCCTACTAGGTCGTTCGCGCAGTCTAATTGCTGTGGAAGTGGCCTTATCCATTCTCATTTGCCTCACCTCCTTCCTCGGCAATTTATTAGTCGTTTATGTTGTCCATAAAGACTCCAGACTCAAGAGCTTAACGAATGTATTCATACACAACTTGGCATTGACTGACATTTCCATGGCATCGCTGCACATGTCCTTTTGGGTAACAAGCCTGTATACAGGAACTTGGATTTTTAGCGAGAAGTGGTGCGAGGTTCAAGCTGTAATTCGGTCTACGTTGGGAAATGCTTCTATCCTGACTATGGGACTTATCGCCTTTAACCGATATTTCTGAGTCGTCAAACCAGCGCTGTACAACAAGGTTTACTCTAGCAAGAAAATGGCACGATTGTACTGTGCCATCGCATGGATAGCTTCTATGCTTCTTGCAACACAGCCATTGTACGGCTGGGGTAAGATGATATACAACCCTTCATGTTCGGTCTGTTATTTTAATTGGAAAATCGAGAATATTTCATATACCATAGTTACCATGGGCGTAGTGATCAACGGGACAACAGTTTCAATCTTATACTTCTACGTACTACAAGATTTGTAAGACTCTTAAAGAAAGCAGTCGAAATATAAATAAACGGCATTCAAGATTGCGCGGCCTCATCGGCACGTCCTGAAACTGATATAAGACTCTTGAAAACCTGTTTTATCGTCGTTTGTGTATTTCTGTTGACATGGGCACCAATTTCTGTTGCTGTGATTTTTGAGACCGCTGGGTGCGTTATCCCCAGGGAGGTTTGTACGGCAGCTGTTTACCTTATGTTTACAAGCAGTTTAGTAAATCCATTGATATACGGGATAATGAATTCGCAGTTGAAAGAGGCCTTCAAAAGGGCTTTAATGTTTGGTACTTGTGGCAACAATCAAATAATTCAGGGCTCGTCAAGAAAGGGGGCCATGCCTTGAGGGCTCAGAATTAGCTAAGGCCGACAGTTTGGTAGTTATGGCAACTTTTAATAGTCATAATGGCACCCAGGGTTCGTAGAGTTTTTTGGAACTAAATTTCAAGACTTTTGTTCCAAAACAATAATTTTTTTTTTCCAGACTCAATGTTATCAAATAGGTGGTCGATAGAGACTTTAAAAAAAGCAGGAAAAAAGCTTTTTCTTGGTGCTATGCACGAGACTTTTTCAAGAATTCAAGACTCTGTACGAACCGTAAGAACAACCTTGATCTCTTGAGACGATACGAAGGCTTACAGTTAGCTTGGGAAGCTTGCGTAATTTTCAACTTAGTGAAAACTTTTTTTCGTANCATGGGCACCAATTTCTGTTGCTGTGATTTTTGAGACCGCTGGGTGCGTTATCCCTAGGGAGGTTTGTACGGCAGCTGTTTACCTTATGTTTACAAGCAGTTTAGTAAATCCATTGATATACGGGATAATGAATTCGCAGTTCAAAGAGGCCTTCAAAAGGGCTTTAATGTTTGGTACTTGTGGCAGCAATCAAATAATTCAGGGCTCGTCAAGAAATGGGGCCATGCCTTGAGGGCTCAGAATTAGCCAAGGCCGACAGTTTGGTAGTTATGGCAACTTTTAATAGTCATAATAGAACCCAGGGTTCGTAGAGATTTTTGGAACTAAATTTCAAGACTTTTGTTCCAAAACAATAATTTCTTTTTCCAGACTCAATGTTATCAAATAGGTGATCAATAGAGACTTTTAAAAAAGCAGAAAAAAAGCTTTTTCTTGGTACTATGCACACATTAGACCGAATTGAATAAGATTTGACCAAAAGGAAAAAAATGTCACTCATAAAGCATTTGTTGTAGCTTTAAATAAAAACTCCAACTTTTTACCATTTTTTCCACACGTTTTCTCTAAATGTAGACTTTATCTAGTTTTGGAAAATTTCTAGTCAAATTTCAAGACTTTTTCAAGAATTCAAGACTCTGTACGAACCGTAAGAACAACCTTGATCTCTTGAGACGATACGAAGGCTTACAGTTAGCTTGGGAAGCTTGCGTAATTTTCAACTTAGTGAAAACTTTTTTTCGTATTGCTGGTACGACCTTCTCTGATTTTGAAATGAGAGGAGGATTGGGAAGAGTAGAAATAGCTCCAAATGAGGTGGTTACCAGGGTGACAAAACGAAGAGAACTCGATCGTGCATTGCATGCTAGCTTGCGTTATTCCAATTCTTTCAAGGGCTATTTTCTTTTGATTCCAATTACTTAACCCTGTTCAGACCGGGAGGGCTTTCGAGGCACCCCTTACGAAAAAGTTGAATAAAAAAACCGTTCAAGCTATGACCGCTAAACTTGTCGACTTCATAAAATTCATCTGGGAATGTTTTAAGTCCGACGTCAAGTGCACGTCAGCGTTGACGTTAGGATGGTAACCAATTTTTTGATAGCTATATTGTTCAAAATTCGCATTTTTTCTATTCAGAAAAGGTATTATTTTAACTCATTGGCTCTCACTCTGGAAAAATAAACTATCAGGGAGGAAAAAAAAAGTCGAAACTAGGTAAGTGACATTATAAACCAGCCTCTTATGACACATTTAAACGTTTCTGTTCTCCAAGGAGTACAAATTGGACCATTCTGACTTACGTGGAATAATTACTGATTGGTTTTCCTCTTATTAAAAAATGTAAATAACCGAATGTAAACAACAGAAATTAAATTTCATATTTCTAACAAGGCTGCAATTACCTGTGTCCCTGTGCTGTGCCTCAGGGTTCTGTCCTAGAACCACTGCTTTTTAATTTTACATAAACGACACACAGCGCTCCTTGGATAAATTAAATTTATACGTCTTAGCAGATTATACAAATATACCCCATGCTGATAAAGACAATGAATTTCTTGAAATCGGCGTTATCTGTGAACTTTGTAAGCCACATACATTGTTAACCGGCTCACAGCGAACAGATTAACTCTTATTCTGTTATTTTCCAACCTTATTAAAAGAGACTAGTGCTTGAACCAAAATTTGTGATATATGATTCATAAGGAACGAGAGAACTAGTTAACCGTGAATGTGAAATATCTTGGTGGTGTATAGACTGCAACCTAAGCTGGAAATATCATATACACATTGCGGTAAAAATAACTAGATCTGTTGGTATTATTGCAAAACTTGGGCACTTTTCGCCACCAAATACTCTACTGTGAATCTATCAATCCTTAATATTGCCCTATATAACTTATAGACTTACAGTAAGAGGCATTGCAAGTAAATCCTTCTTGAGCACTATATTTTCTCTATCACAAATCCGCTCGTCCTTTAATGCACCATATTTTTTAATCGTATAATATTTTAAACCTTTTTAGTGACACTACCGGTACCTTTTTCTTATAAACGCTCGCTCTTCCTCATCAGTCATCAAATAACTTTTATATTAAGAAACTAAGCTAGAAATTCAAAAGAGAGCTTTTTCAAGAAGAAGAGCTAAGATTTGGAATGAGATACTAGCATCATTACGAGAGCGCCAAAAAACTAATACATAAAAAGGGTACATCAAAATTTTAAAAAACAAACAAACAAACAAACTCCACTCTTTCCTTGCTGATATTCTTAAGAAGCATGATGACCATATTATTGATATTTCAGAATGAACTCTGTTCTAAAAACATACGAAAAAAAAAATAGTTTCGGCGAGAAGAAGACGCTTAAAGAACCGGAGGTTCAACTTCTTCAATGATGATTCTGCTTATTGCATTCCAGCTTGTTAGTGCATCAACAGATTTAGGATAAGCCTTGCAATTCCCAACGTGAAAACCAACTCGGACCTTTCCAGAAGCTATTCCACCACAGTACCCTTCAATATTGGCCGAGCGATGGATGTTAATATTGGTACTTTGATACACCAGACCATCAATAGTGGCGGGTGCGCGACACTCTACGTCGTTGAAAGTGAAGTACCACCTCTTACAGCAGCTTGAGCATCCTGTAATGCGCGTGTTTCCCATGTAAACAACACGGAGGTATGTATCGCTCCTCTTTTTAGTGAAATCGCATTCCTGAAAAGAAGGTACATACATATCAGATTTCATTATCAGAGTATGTAAGTCGTCGTTAAACGTACCAACCCATATCAGTGTATCTTCTTGATTTGGAAGCTCTACAGGAACCATTTTTGCAGTTTTCTCCACCTTGAGAGTCTAAACTTGCCATGTTTAAGTAAGAAGATAATAATGATAAAAAAGAAAATAAAACTGAGAGCTACATTGTAAAACGTGGAAAGTTTGCATCACACAACAGAACATCAAAGAACAAATCCTTCCGATCGACAATGCACAGAGCGGGAAAAGTTAGGCTCCGAGCCTCTACATTTTACCGATTGACGTCGCAGAAAAACCCCAAACCCAAAGACGTGTTTGACATCACAGGTCGTGTGTTATGCGGAACAGCTAGCTGTAAAGGTGTGGCGGTATGACTGGGACAGAGTTAAATTTTGAAGACTTTTGGGCCTGTATACGACAAATACACCATACACCGCATTCGCACTTCTTGAGGCACTGTTTTCTCCAATAAACAAGGCGAATGTAGAGTTCGGGTACAGTAATTGTATAAACTACTTACAACTTTCCTTCAGTACATAGAGCAATTTAAAAATCGGGTTTTAATAAGCCGCCACAAATGCTTTTCAAGTGTACTGTCAGTGGCGGATCTAGACCTTTGGGCCTCAGTTTGGTCTAAAAATAAGTGGGCGCCACTGACTGTAGTCAAAAAACAATACAAGAATAGTCTCAGGTTACTGGGGTCAATGAAATTGACATGTAACGGGCATTTTAATTTTGTAGATTTCTAACGAGTGGCCGTATTAACGGGATGAAATTGTCTATTGTTTCGGATTTTTAAAAAACGTGGCCGTTGGCCGTATTAACAGCTGACCGTATTACCGAGGTGGCTGTTAAGGCGGGGTCTCATTATAGTTGTTTCTTGACAAGAGAGGATCATTCTAGATTATACTGATGACGATGGCAATCATGATGATGGTGCTAATTATTAGCTTATCCGAGGTCATAATAAGTAACAGCAAAAAAGGGTGCAAGTTGGGAAACTGAATTCAAGGTAAAGCCGTAAGCTAAGCTAAACTATCTCAATATCTTAGAAAGAGGAAAGCCAATAAAAGAAAATACATAAATACCTTAATACATAACTACTTATTAAACACATAACGGCATAAAAACCATCACAACCTTCAGCCCATCTCGCGCCCAATAGACAGTATTCGTATTCTCCGACAGTCCTGGGACGAGTAGGCCTTGATCATGAATGCGAGGCTCATGCGGGGAATTCTCGCCGAGAGGACAAACAAATATGAGAAAACTGCGGCTGAGTTTGCCGAATTTAAGGAACATTTTTAACATTGTAAAGTTCCTGAGGGCTTAAATACTTGAGAGATCATTATTTCAAACAACAAAAGGAAGATCTGCTCATTATTACTAAGAAAAACAGCCATCCTAACCATAATTACATTGATGAGAAGAGTGCTTGGTGACCGAGTTTATAATTTACATGTAATATAAACAGAGATATTCTCAAACTCCCCGAAGCCATTTTATTGTAATTTTCAGTGTCCTTTAAACATTTTGATGAATACCTTTTATTCAAATAGACGTGATTATCGAAAGCTTGCGATAAAGTTAACAGTGATGTTATCACACCTAGTTGCAGTTGAAATTTTCTAACAGAGCGGATGCAAAATCTTGTGTATTTGAAGTAAACCAAACGACTCAGTCAGTGGATAATTACTTATCAGGACGGGGCTTAGCGTTCTGCACACAGTCCATGTGCATTTTAAGGAAGTTAATCCGGTTTGAACAAAGATGACTCGGTAAAGTTTATTTTTAAATTTAAGTTACATTATCTTCGATAACAACTGTGCGGGAGTACAAAAACCTGCACGCAGTTGAACAATGCGTTTCGTACAGACGATAATACTGAGCAGTTTAAACTCCACACTACAGATACACACTAGAGAAAAAGAATAATAATAAGAATAAAATTATATAAAAAGGATTCGAGTATTGACATTTTGACACAATATACCATTTTCTTGATTACTTCTTGTTTCTTCTTTTTGCTTCGTGGCTTTTTAAATTTTGCCGTTAGGACGACCAGCTCTTCCCATAGTTTTGTTTTTTTGAAACAGATATCCTTTTAGCTTACCCGTAAGGTTTTAGCTTTTAAGAGCGTGTCTCCGTAAAAACCGACCAGTGATTTTGGATCAAAAAATTAATTTCTCTTATATTCTGGGATATTAAAGCCTTCACCTTAGTAGTTACAAAAATACATTTCGTTTGACCGAAAGTGATAATCATTCTCATTTGCCTCACCTCCTTCCTCGGCAATTTATTAGTCGTTTATGTTGTCCATAAAGACTCCAGACTCAAGAGCTTAACGAATGTATTCATACACAACTTGGCATTGACTGACATTTCCATGGCATAGCTGCACATGCCCTTTTGGGTAACAAGCCTGTATACAGGAACTTGGATTTTTAGCGAGAAGTGGTGCGAGGTTCAAGCTGTAATTCAGTCTACGTTGGGAAATGCTTCTATCCTGACTATGGGACTTATCGCCTTTAACCGATATTTCTGAGTCGTCAAACCAGCGCTGTACAACAAGGTTTACTCTAGCAAGAGAATGGCACGATTGTACTGTGCCATCGCATGGATAGCTTCTATTCTTCTTGCAACACCGCCATTGTACGGCTGGGGTATGATGATATACAACCCTTCATGTTCGGTCTGTTCTTCTAATTGGAAAATCGAGAATATTTCATATACCATAGTTACCGTGGGCGTAGTGATCAACGGGACAACAGTTTCAATCTTATACTGCTACTACAAGATTTGTAAGACTCTTAAAGAAAGCAGTCGAAATATAAATGCCCACGGCATTCAAGATTGCGCGGCCTCATCGGCACGTCCTGAAACTGATATAAGACTCTTGAAAACCTGTTTTACCGTCGTTTGTGTATTTCTGTTGACATGGGCACCAATTTCTGTTGCTGTGATTTTTGAGACCGCTGGGTGCGTTATCCCTAGGGAGGTTTGTACGGCAGCTGTTTACCTTATGTTTACAAGCAGTTTAGTAAATCCATTGATATACGGGATAATGAATTCGCAGTTCAAAGAGGCCTTCAAAAGGGCTTTAATGTTTGGTACTTGTGGCAGCAATCAAATAATTCAGGGCTCGTCAAGAAATGGGGCCATGCCTTGAGGGCTCAGAATTAGCCAAGGCCGACAGTTTGGTAGTTATGGCAACTTTTAATAGTCATAATAGAACCCAGGGTTCGTAGAGATTTTTGGAACTAAATTTCAAGACTTTTGTTCCAAAACAATAATTTCTTTTTCCAGACTCAATGTTATCAAATAGGTGATCAATAGAGACTTTTAAAAAAGCAGAAAAAAAGCTTTTTCTTGGTACTATGCACACATTAGACCGAATTGAATAAGATTTGACCAAAAGGAAAAAAATGTCACTCATAAAGCATTTGTTGTAGCTTTAAATAAAAACTCCAACTTTTTACCATTTTTTCCACACGTTTTCTCTAAATGTAGACTTTATCTAGTTTTGGAAAATTTCTAGTCAAATTTCAAGACTTTTTCAAGAATTCAAGACTCTGTACGAACCGTAAGAACAACCTTGATCTCTTGAGACGATACGAAGGCTTACAGTTAGCTTGGGAAGCTTGCGTAATTTTCAACTTAGTGAAAACTTTTTTTCGTATTGCTGGTACGACCTTCTCTGATTTTGAAATGAGAGGAGGATTGGGAAGAGTAGAAATAGCTCCAAATGAGGTGGTTACCAGGGTGACAAAACGAAGAGAACTCGATCGTGCATTGCATGCTAGCTTGCGTTATTCCAATTCTTTCAAGGGCTATTTTCTTTTGATTCCAATTACTTAACCCTGTTCAGACCGGGAGGGCTTTCGAGGCACCCCTTACGAAAAAGTTGAATAAAAAAACCGTTCAAGCTATGACCGCTAAACTTGTCGACTTCATAAAATTCATCTGGGAATGTTTTAAGTCCGACGTCAAGTGCACGTCAGCGTTGACGTTAGGATGGTAACCAATTTTTTGATAGCTATATTGTTCAAAATTCGCATTTTTTCTATTCAGAAAAGGTATTATTTTAAGTCATTCGCTCTCACTCTGGAAAAATAAACTATCAGGGAGGGAAAAGATGAGTCGAAACTAGGTAAGTGACATTATAAACCAGCCTCTTATGACACATTTAAACGTTTCTGTTCTCCAAGGAGTACAAATTGGACCATTCTGACTTACGTGGAATAATTACTGATTGGTTTTCCTCTTATTAAAAAATGTAAATAACCGAATGTAAACAACAGAAATTAAATTTCATATTTCTAACAAGGCTGCAATTACCTGTGTCCCAGTGCTGTGCCTCAGGGTTCTGCCCTAGAACCACTGCTTTTTAATTTTACGTAAACGACACACAGCGCTACTTGGATAAATTAAATTTATACCTCTTAGCAGATTATACAAATATACCCTATGCTGATAAAGACAATGAATTTCTTGAAATCGGCGTTGTCTGTGAACTTTGTAAGGCACATACATTGTTAACCGGCTCACAGCGAACAGATTAACTCTTATTCTGTTATTTTCCAACCTTATTAAAAGAGACTAGTGCTTCAACCAAAATTTGTGATATATGATTCATAATGAACTGAGAGAACTAGTTAACCGTGAATGTGAAATATCTTGGTGGCGTATAGACTGCAACTTAAGCTGGAAATATCATATACACATTGCGGTAAAAATAACTAGATCTGTTGGCATTATTGCAAAACTTGGGCACTTTTCGCCACCAAATACTATACTCTACTGTGCATCTATCCATCCTTAATATTGCCCTATATAACTTATAGACTTACAGTAAGAGGCATTGCGAGTAAATCCTTCTTGAGCACTAGATTTTCTTTATCACAAATCCGCTCGTTTTTAAAGCAGCCTATTTTTTAATCGTATAATATTTTAAACCTTCTTAGCGACACTACCGGTACCTTTTTCTTATAAACGCTCGCTCTTCCTCATCAGTCATCGAATAACTTTTATATTAACAAACTAAACTAGAAATTTAAAAGAGAGCTTTTTCAAGAAGAAGAGCTAAGATTTGGAATGAGATACTAGCATCATTACGAGAGCGCCAAAAAACTAATACATAAAAAGGGTATATCAAAATTTTAAAAAACAAACAAACAAACAAACTCCACTCTTTCCTTGTTAATATTCTTAAGAAGCATGGTTACTATATTATTGATATTTCAGAATTAACTCTGTTCTAAAAACATACGAAAAAAAATAGTTTCGGCGAGAAGAAGACACTTAAAGAACCGGAGGTTCAACTTCTTCAATGATGATTCTGCTTATTGCATTCCAGCTTGTTAGTGCATCAGCAGATTTAGGATAAGCCTTGCAATTCCCAACGTGAAAACCAACTCGGACCTTTCCAGAAGCTATTCCACCACAGTACCCTTCAATATTGGACGAGCGATGGATGTTAATATTGGTACTTTGATACACCAGACCATCAATAGTGGCGGGTGCGCGACACTCTACGTCGTTGAAAGTGAAGTACCACCTCCTACAGCAGCTTGAGCATCCTGTAATGCGCGTGTTTCCCATGTAAACAACACGGAGGTATGTATCGCTCCTCTTTTTAGTGAAATCGCATTCCTGAAAAGAAGGTACATACATATAAGATTTCATTATCAGAGTTTGTAAGGTGTCGTAAAACGTACCAACCCATATCAGTGTATCTTCTTGATTTGGAAGCTCTACAGGAACAATTTTGCAGTTTTCTTCACCTTGAGAGTCTAAACTTGCCATGTTTAAGTAAGAAGATTATAATAATGATAAAAAAGAAAATAAAACTGACAGCTACATTGTAAAACGTGGAAAGTTTGCATCACACAACAGAACATCAAAGAACAAATCCTTCCGATCGACAATGCACAGAGCGGGAAAAGTTAGGCTCCGAGCCTCTACATTTTACCGATTGACGTCGCAGAAAAACCCCAAATCCAAAGACGTTTTTGACATCACAGGTCATGTGTTATGCGTAACAGCTAGCTGTAAAGGTGTGGCGGTATGACTGGGACAGAGTTAAATTTTGAAGACTTTTGGGCCTGTATACGATAAATACACCATACACCGCATTCGCACTTCTTGAGCCACTGTTTTCTCCAATAAACAAGGCGAATGTAGAGTTCGGGTACTGTAATTGTATAAACTACTTGCAACTTTCCTTCAGTACATAAAGCAATTTAAAAATCGGCTTTTAATAAGCTATAAGCCGCCACAAAGGCATTTCAAGTGTACTGTCAGTGGCGGATCTAGACCTTCGGGTCTCAGTTTGGTCTAAAAATAAGTGGGCGCCACTGACTGTAGTCAAAAAACAATACAAGAATAGTCTCAGGTTACTGGGGTCAATGAAATTGACATGTAACGGCATTTTAATTTTCTAGATTTCTAACGAGTGGCCGTATTAACGGGATGGAATTATAAAAGAGTCTACTGCTTCGGATTTTTAAAAAACGTGGCCGTTGGCCGTATTAACTAGCGACCGTAAGTCGGGGTCTCATTACAGTTGATTCTTGACAAGAGAGGATCATTCTAGATTATTCTGTACTGATGACGATGACAATGATGATGATGGTGCTAATTATTAGCTTATCCGAGGAGCAAAAAAGGGTGCAAGTTGGGAAACTGAATTTACGGTAAAGCCGTAAGCTAAGCTAAACTATCTCAATATCTTAGCAAGAGGAAAGCCAAAAAGAAAATACATAAATACCTTAATACATAACTACTTATTAAATATATAACGGCATAAAAACCATCACAACCTTCAGCCCATCTCGCGCCCAATTCTAAGGCCGAAAAGGAATAACTTTACCCGTAGAAATTGCTTCATATTTAAGGTCCCGCCGCTTGGTTTCATTCGTTGATGTCGTATAAACATAACAACTTTCTTTAATTTTCCAGACATGTTTCGACGGTACATCCGTCATCTTCAGTGTTACATATTTTGAAATCGCCGTTGAATTTAAAGCGCGCGCGATCTTACAAAGTTCGTTACATTGCGTTGTCAATATTGCGTACTAAAACAAAGTTAAATGAGTGACGCTTAGTTCTTT